ATAATATCATATTATTTATAATTGTTATTAACGTAGCTATTATACTTATTATAAAATTATTACAGTATATTAATCTTATTTTATTATTTATAATTATTATTATACATGTAAATGTTATATTTATTAATAAGTTACAAAAAAAAATAAGATCTGTAAGTATAACTTTTATACCTAAGTTATCTAAAATTTAATTTACAGAAAATCTTTATTTCAAATTGACACCTTTTATGACCATCTTGCAATAAGCTTCGCGAAAAAAATCGTTTTGAAAGCGACGTGACACAAATAATTACAACATTCTACATTTCTCCGGAATGAATCGCATTTTTACAAACTTTTTGAGAAACACACAGAGCTATTTAGTTCTCCTTACGAATCAGCAAAATATCTTACACGATCGCGAGGCGTGTTGCCAATCCGCAGGCGGCATGTTGTTCTTCGACATTCCAAATGAGAGTCTTTTGCATACGAAGAGAAACAATCGACTTCATCGATTTGTTTTTAGAAAAGATCTCCAGGAGAAAAGAGCAAAGAAAACGTTGATTTTTCATCATGTGATAACTTAAAAATTGCGACTCGACGCTACAAGATCCCAAGAACCACATCAAGTCAAGAGAAAGTCAAAATGACTTTGTTCTGACGTCACGAAAGTCAAAATGATGATTTTTGGTTTGATAAAATTTGACCGTTTGGCGTTTATCAACATTAAGAATCAAAATTATAAGTCACTTTGGTTTTTTATTGACTCTTGTGTGTTCCTTGAGATGGAGAACGATGGTAGCCCGCGAGAGTCCGCGTCTCTCGCGCGTTCAAATCTCCGACTTTTGCTTCGCCTTGGCTCTCGCCTCTCGCTCTCTACCTACTCTCTCGTGAAAGTACTCCACCGATCGGTAGGCGGGGGGAGGCTGTCTTCGGGAACTCGCCTTCGGTACCTTGGTAGACGATGCCACGGCAGTCGTCGTTCGGCCGACGTTCACCTCTACTTCGCTTTCACCTGACCGATCTCGGCGATCTTGCGCGATCTCGTCGCCGTCGTCATCGTCGTCGTCGTCTTCGCGAAAATTTTCTCGCTGTCCGAAGTACCAGGTGACATTCACGGCACCCACGTTGTTCGCGATTAATGTAAACGGATATTGCACAAGTGAGAGAAGAGAGAAGAAAAGAGAAAGAGAGAGAGAGAGAGAGAGAGCGTGCGAAACTACAGTGAAACTCAGATCAGGCTTCATCGATCGATTCGAGCATCCCAGTGAAGTGGACCCAGGAAACGGATGCGGCCCTTCGGTTTCATCCGTCGACTATGATCACCCACGTCGAGAAGATATCGAGGATAAGGATTCAGTAGAAAGCGAGTTGCCCAATCAAGCAAGTATGGAGCTACTTATTGTTCCCCTTCTGTCTTTTCAGCAATTACCGCATCAGCGCCAGCTTCATGTTTACTAACACTTGAGCGTCATTGAGTCTCAATTAGCAGCTGCTGTGCTTATTAATCATTAATAGCCAATATTCCCTTTTTAGGAGGAAATTTTATTTCGCGCTCTATTCTGAATTATTATTTATTATTAATACATATTATCATTATACGTTTTAAAACTGCTAGCTCATTTTATTTATTTCATTAGATATATAAAGAATATTTTGATAACAGAGATAGTTTTCTTTTAAATTTACCGCAGAATTTGATGTTTTATATATAATAATGTAGGATTTCTTTCTCCGAAGAAGATAATTACATTCAGAAGTTATTTTAAAATATTTTTAAGATAGGTTTGATAAAATTATATAGATTTTTATGACCTCGTATTTTTTTAACGGCTTAGAGTTTTCCAAAGATTTCTTGCAACTCCAAATATCTAAAATCATTCGTTACTTGATTTTAAAAAATTTAGTATTTTAATCTAAAAGTTTTTTTTTAGAAAATATAGAAATACCCGTCGCGATTTGATTGATATTGCTTATATTATAACTACGGCTCTCCATTCTAGTAAATTGAAAGTCTTTCAAGGATTCTCCATGTCTTCAAATTTCTCGGATTATTAAAGACTTGATAATTCTGTAATTAAACCGTGAACTGTAGAAAATATAGAATTATGATTTAACCAAGATTCTTTACGCCATAATCACGGCTTTACTGGGTTAACTTCCTACTTATTAATCGCCGCGAGCAGAAATGAAAGTAGTTTTGTTGCGTGCCCCCTTTACGCTGTTACGCGAAAACTATGCGTCCACAGTTTCCATACGGAAGGCCTGAAATTTCGATGTTTCCGAGATTTCACACAAGATACAGAATCGGCAATCGAGAATAAATTAGGGATAAAACTAATTGAATTACATTTTATAACATACTAAAAAATAGCTCGGTGTTTGTGTAGGTCATCTAGGATCTAAAAGCTTATATGAATGAGAACTTTGCGCGCTCGACTGTGTCAGGAGACAAAGACGTAATAATATTATAACGAACAAGATTGCATAATTGAAACGAGAAAGTTGTGTCATTAGATTTATTAATATTAGAACAAATCTATGTTTTAATAATTTTAATAAATAAATAGAATATTCTTTTAATCTGCGCTCTATAATAGAAATATGTATGGAAATTATAAAATATTGACGGAAATTTTGATTCTTTTTTATTTAAAATGATAAGTATACGTCAAGTTATATTGCGATACAGAAATTAAAATTGTCCAGTAAATAGACAAAATATTTATTTGTTTTAAATCTTTGTAACCAATCGGTGAATCGCAATAAAACTTTACACATAAGTTTTTTGAATTCTTAAAATACTTATACAAAACATTTATATATATATTATATATGTATAGATCTTTATTATTTTTTTTCAAATTTTAGTTTATAATAATAAAAATAATAAATAAAGTAAACAGAGATTATAAAAATAAGATATTAAAAAAAATACAGTATTATAAGCATAATCCTCATATGTATATTTGTTTAAAATGTAAATATTAATATGTTATATATTTATATATACACTGTGAAAAAATATCTTAATTTCAAAGAAATAATTTTTTTTAATACAAGCAAAGAAATTTTTTTTTTAATTAAGATATTTTCTTCTCGTTGTATACTGTATCTAATCGAACCTCTTTAAGAAGTGTTCCGGAAAGATAATGATGAAAGGGCTCAAGAAACAATACCGTAATGGAAACGTGCCGTGTGTCGAAACGGTCTCGTATTTACTCTTAGAACTTCATTGATCGTCTTGGAAGATGAGTAAGGGGGCGGCGTGCGAATCCCCGTGACGGGGCATTGCGAGAGACCGCGGCTCCGGGCGGGTGATAATTGCATATTTATGGAACGGCATGACCTTGCGCCCGTTACTTTCACTATCGCCGATCCCCGAGTGCAATTGCGCGTGGTGATCCGTCGATTCCGCCGTGTCGGATCTCACGA